ATATAATATAATATAATATAATATAATATAATATAATATAATGTTTTTATACAAAAGTTTTTCATTTCATACTCAAATCAGAAATAATAAAGTACAGGAAATGACAAAATTATGAAATTAATTTGAGAAAATAAAATCATAAAATAAAATGCACAAATAAAATAAATAACATTGTACCTTTGTTGTTACAAGAGGGTAACTTTTACTAATTTTCCTCAGTCCGTCCAACATCTTGGGGAGCTCTGATGGATTGACCGGCTCTACGGCTATCTTGATCACAGAACTTGTGTTGAACTTCAGAGGTCTGAAGATGAAGGCCTGGAAACCAGAAAATAACCAATGGAGTAAGTAATTTATCCTAAAGTAAATACATGTCAGTTGCCATGAAATGAAATAAACCAAACAATTGAATTTCTGAGTTACAACCAACTTTTGACAAAAAATGTTTCTGTGGAACATTTCCCAGATAGTGAAACAATTTGCCTGTTCTACACACCTGCACTCCCCACCCCCCCTCTTGACCACCTGTGTAATATGATACTGAAACTCACCTCTTCATTCCCTGTGGCCTCTGTTATAGTAGAAGTCTTCACTATGGGCTGATCTATGCCCTCTATTAACACCCAATTACCTGCTGGCACACGGTTCACCTCTATCTTGTATCTAGAGAGACAGAAATGGAAGGAGGTAAACAGCCAAGTTTTAAACTTTAAGGCATATGGATTCCTTTAAGTATTCAAGAAAGATGAAGTATATGATATAATTTATGGCAGTCACATGGTTAATTTTCATTCCACAGCAAGTAAGCTTAAAGATACAATTCACTTTTGTACATCATGAAGAGCTGACCATCTAATATATTAACTGGCCTACACAAATGGAAATAAACATCTCTGCATTAACATGATCTTTCCACTAATAACCCAAACAGTGAAACTTCTTCAGTAAAATCAACAGTATGAGTCAGCTCAGACTGCCTAGCATATTTACTAGCTAGGTACAGCCCACATTATTCTACACTTTACATTTGATCTATGTCATTGCCATGGTTATACTGTTGCCATGCATACGTTGTTGCCATGACATGGCTGTTGCTATGACAACACTGTTCCCATGCCTACCTGGCCTCATATATCCACAGTCTTCCCACCTGACCAAACCTGGAGTCTTCTTCATCCTGTAATGAGTAATTCTCCCCGAGGATTTTGACATCTTGGTTCGCATACAGCGTGCCACTCATCACGCGACCAAGCACGTGAAATGCTGTAGCATCTTCTGTGGGGTAAAGCTTTGTGGTATGGATCATAAGAGGACCCTGTAAGATGAAAGCCCAATTGTTGTATTATGGAATTCCCAGACATGCAAAAAAAAAAAGAAAAAAAAAAAACTAACTTCCAATCCTGGACATTTTATTTGGTCTGTGACTGATAGTGATGGAGTTAACTCAAGTCCAGCAAACACCATGGACATGTATGAAAATTTGGAAACAAAGACCCTGTCTGTGTCAGTTCTGAATCAGCGGCTGAATATAACCCACAAAGAGTAAAACTGTGAGAATTAAAGACTTACATCAGGATCACACTGTGTCATGGAGTCTGCCAGCTCCGTGTCCAGAGGCCCTGTGTATGTGTGCTCTACTTTGGACTTGGCGTGGTCCCCAGGGGAGGGCACGTGCTGCACGCACATGTCAACGAAGCCTACACACACACAAAAAAAAAATAAATACTTAAAAAATATGAAACTTAACTAACTTATTATTATGTTACTTATCCTGAGATAGTTATGATGGAAAAAGACCTAGTTATAAATTGCAAAGCAAACTGATCTAGGTCATAGATAAGGCTTTAAAATATAGTGATAAAGTTACCAATTCTACCTTAGAAAGTCCCCAAAGAACATTATATTGATATTTTGACCACAAAAGCAAACCTCAACCAAATCTACCTGAGAAGTCCCCAAAGAACCTCCTCAGTACAATCCTGAGAAGGGGCCGTATGTTCAGTTTCCTCTCCTCCTTGGTGAGACTGATGCCCAGCTCCTCACACACCTGCGGCAGGTTCAGGTCCACGTCCCCCACAGTCTGGAGATTAACGAGGGAAATTAAGACTTGAACTGGATATGCTGTCAAATATTTTGTCAAAGATTTAAGAATTTCAAACTTGATTCATATTTTTGTCTCATGGTCTATAAAATGGTGTATATTGATTAATATGGATATTTTATGTTTGTTGGATTTTTGAGTTTGAGTAATATATAAGACATGCTGACCTGGGTCAATATCCATTGCAGATGGAGACGTGAAAATGTTTATAATCAATTCCGCATAGGAATTCATTTGTATTCTTTAAGGTTTATGCATCATTTTTTTTTACTAGTAAATTATTACGACTTGTGTTGGTCTTTCCACTGTTCCTCTAACAAAATGGGAGAATATTTTCTTCTCATCCTTGTCAGTTACTGATATTTGATTGATTTGTGTTCCAGCTGATAAAAAACCCCTATCAATTTTTTAAACCGTTATCATAAAAATAGATGTATGGTAAGCAAAACTTGAAACTTATATTGAAAGAATTCCAAAGAAAGCTGGTAGCACAATCAATTTTCGTAGAAGCTTACCATAGAAAATATCTTGTACAGTGGTTCTAATATAAACTCCACAAAACTTCTCTGGGATGTGCTGTTGGCAGGCTTCTTTGAAAATTTCCTCCTAAACATCAAGAAAAATTTTAATGTTTAAAAGCATACATGTCATAAAAAACCAATACCTTTGCTCACACTTAAACTGAGTTGGCTAAAGTTTAAATAAATTTCTCCATTTCCTTTGAAAAAACCTTTCTTGCTGTATCTAATTTTTCACTATCCATATCTAAATATATATCCATATGTATATTAAATGACTCATGTCTTTCTACTGTTAAAGTCAACTTCAACCCAACACACCTTAAAGAAAGAAAACTCTTACTCTCAATATCAAGAAAAATAAATAAATAAATAAATAAACAAATAAATAAATAAATAAACAACTCACGTTTTGCTGTTGAAGTAGATATCTCCCCACAGTCTCCTGGCAAACTCGTATGTGTTAATACCACCGTACGTATCAGAGTATATCTTAGCGAAGGAGCTGAGAGTGAAGCAAAACCTGTAGTACGAACTGGCAAAACAGACATTGCCCTTCAGAGGGGAGACCGACATGTCTTCTTCCTCATCTGCAAACGTGCTGGATCAGGAAAAATAGTGGCATTGGAAATAAATAGTCAGGAAAAAAAATGCAATCAATATTCCTTTTTTCCCATACTTTGTTATAAGGACAAAAGACAAAATGTATCTAGTAGGATATGTATTGAGAGCTAAATTTACTGAAAATTGAACAGATTTAGACAAGCACAAAGAGGGGGCATATAAAGAGATGAATGGAATTATAAAATAAGGAAAATAATTTGACTTATGAGAGAGAGAGAGAGAGAGAGAGAGAGAGAGAGAGAAATCTTCCCTCTTAATCCCTTTTCTCTCTATTTTAGACCTGACATTGCCTAGGATCTCTCTCTCTCTCTCTCTCTCTCTCTCTCTCTCTCTCTCTCTCTCTCTCTCTCTCTCTCTAAAGAGAAATTCTATGCGATGAGGTGTCTTAAAATAGAGAGGAAGGGCATTAAGAGGGGTAATTGGAAAATATCCCCAGAACAGAGAAACATGCAGATTGAAAAACACAACTGACAAGAAAATAAAATAGAGGAAAATAGGACAATGTACCTTATCAGGCCATTGACTTCATCCACGATGTGTCTCAGTTTATAATAAGCATCAGTGGGCGGCAGCTTGAGCTCCAGTATCAATCTGTCTATCTTGTTAATACACACTGTGACTGCTAGCTTCTCCTGGAGGGCATGCTTGATGAGGCGTTCTGTGTTCAACATCACCTGGAGTCAGAGAATGAGCATTATTTTATATGTGATTTATACTATCGGCAATTGAGTGATAATAATTATTATACAGGCCCGTAGCTAGGGGGGTTTGGGGGGTTCGAAAGAACCCCCCTTTTTGCTGTTAAAAAGTCCACTCTAGGTAATTTTCGACCTAGGTAAATTGGGATTATATGGTAAAAGGTCCACTTTTTCAGAAAAAGAACCCCCCCTTTGAAATTGCTGGCTACGGGCCTGTTATAGTAAGTTGACTGAAACAATTGTCTTTACTAAGTCAGGAATAGTCATACATGTTGTATTTGGGTAAAAGTATACTCATTTAAAATTATATTAATATTGTCATTTTCATCCACCCAGGTGGATGCCTACGTTACGATGAGTAACCTAAACTACATTATCATGCACTATTTCAGGTATTAGTGTATACTGTGTTTTGCTACTCAAACTGTGCGTATGTTATTCAGCACATGCTGATGCAGAAATGACAAAAGAATCAATACATAATGTACATGCAGTCCAAATATACACCTTGCAGCAAGAACTTCAGTTAGAACTGGGCTACATCAAACTGTGTGTCAACCATTTTTATGTCTTGTCGCTAGTTTAAGAGGCTTCGTTGTGCTGTCTCTTAGAGTTCACATCAACCAGAGGCTGTCACAATGTGTCATGCACCATTTATATCATAGTTACTAAAACTCACCCCCTCTGCAGCATCAATAAAGATAACAGCACCGTCACACATCCTGAACGCGGCTGTCACCTCATCAGAGAAGTTGACATGTCCTGGTGTGTCAAACACGTTGACGAGGTATGACTTTGTCCTGGTGTCTTGTAGCAAGAGACTCACAGGGAGTGATTTGATGCTTAGACCTCTCTGGAAATATTTAATATTTTTTGTTAATAGTGAGATGACAAAACACACAAACGCGCACTCACACATGCAGGCACACACCCACACATATACATACCACTAATGCACTAACAATATAAGTAACACTGATGCAAAGGATAGTCCAACACAAACTGGAGGGTATTGCATTTATATGACCAATGTCCTTAAATTAGTTTTATCACCTAGACATGGCGTAATTATCTCTTTATGCATTTTTTCTCACTAGCTCATTTTTTTAAATGACATTTCTCACTAAAAAATAATCAACTTTTTTCATGACATGATAATATCTGAACACCCAGTTTGCACTTGTTCTTTAGATACCTGCTAACCTACCTCTTGTTCTGTAAACAAAATATCTGTGTACCTAAGCTGAAAAACAAAATAAGACATATGAACCATATTTGCCAAATATGCTATGAAGAAGGTGTGTTCATCTTTAAGTGCCCTAGATATACCATTTTCCCACCTTTAGGGAGTCTTGCTGTGTCGTTCAACCTTCATGTCTAATTTACAACACAATGCCTTGCTGAATGTTAAACCATTTCCAAAACAATTCCACAAATTAAAGTATTCCACGGCAAGTAATAAGCAGTAACCAAATTTCTTAATATATTGAAAGGGACCTCAACCCACGCAAGTGGCCTTGAAAATTTGTTCAAAAGTTTGTTTTTTTTTTAAAGAGCTCAAAACTATGTCAAGTGTCAAAGGCTAAGGTCATGAGCTTACATCTTTCCCTTCCTCTATTTCCATCTCCGGGTGTGTCTGCTCCACCAAACTGTCCACAAATGATGTCTAAAACAGGAACAACATATAAAAACTATAAATAATACAAAGTCATGTAAATTTAATTTGTTAATGAATAACTAGGCAAGAATTATACAAGGTTCAGACTCATAAGTAACTTTAATTTCTAGTGTGGCCACTTTATGGCATGTCACAGGAAGCACAGGCATTTGGAGACAAAAAAAATGTACATAAGTAAACAACAGAATAATATAAGCAGATAAACAAAACTACTAGGTAGCTTCTTTTCTTTTCTTTCTTTTTTTTTGAATGTCAAGAGAAACAAAAGCACAATGAGAATGATCTGGTCAGTTTTCTCAGCATCCCTTCAGTAGCTCGACCCGTGTCCAGTAGACACTGACCTTTCCATGGTGGAGATGACCACACAGTGCCACATTCCTGATAAGGTCTGGGTTGTCCATCAAGTCTGCTAAAAACCTGGTGGTGAAAGAAATGAAATGCAAACTAAAATAAAACCCCACGCACTACCTCAAGTCTCTTCATAGTTTATAGATTTCACAGGTTAATGAATAATGATTCAATGTTGAAAAAGACATAAGAAAATTCAAGTCAACTGACCATTCTTTAAAAAAACACATTTTCATTCCAGTTCTCTTTCCTCCAAAAAGGCAAAATATAACATACATAGACAAAATATCATAATTATATAAAAGATATAACTTCCAAACCCCATTTTGCCATGATATCACTATATAAGCTGTGACACCTCCCTAATCCAAACTTACTCTATGTTATAAGTTGTTTCTGGCAGTTCTTGTTCTGCAACTTGGAACTTTGTCCTCTTGACAGGGGCAATAATGGGCTCCGTCAGGGGCTGGGTGTCCTCCTCATGAACTATTGTCTAATAATAAAAATCATACATTTAAAATAAATGCAAAATTACATCAAAAAGAAGAACCCTCAAAACTAACTCTGCCAGAGCCAACAGAAGGAAGAGTTAATATAATAGAAGCAGATAAGGCACACTGTACATTTCATTGAATCAAAGTGACACAAGACTCACCATCATCAATAAGTTGAGGGTAGGGAACTCTTGAAAAAAGGTCTCAAGAGTGCACCAAAATAAAGTATAATTCAATCCATCTTTAACACTAGTCCAGTGCTTAATATAAATAAAATTGAAACTATGGCAGTAATTTTTTCAAAAATTTGTTAAGGAAATGTCCATTATTTTGTCTTAGTAACATAAGATTCTGCTGTCCAGGTGGACCAGTGCAGAAACTGTTTTTGAGGCAGACTACAGTTTCACAGACTTACCTCTACCTCTGGTCCATATACCTCCTCAGGTGTGGGGTAGTATTTCTTGTCTTCGTGTAGTACCACCTGCATGTCATTGATGTCTTGGTCATCATCGCGGTCCATGTCCATCTCCTCCTCCTACAAAGAAAAAGATAATCACAAAAAAATGTATCATTCTAGTGGTCACTTTAAGGTGAAATAATCCTGAGCAGTTTGTTTCTCAAAGTTAACCGTGTATTTATGTGTATTTAATGCTTTACTCTCAAACAAGACTTTTTCTAAAATATGAACATTGTAGGCAAATGATTTTGATGAATTTATGCTGACATATAATTCCACTATATTGTCTTTTTACCACAGGAAAATGCCCTTACCTGACTATGAACTGTCAATAGAACTTTTACGCCCCCCCTCCCAGCCCCCAACAATGCTCCTATTTCTGACCAATTCGCACCATCTTTAGAGATTATCAAACATGTAAAACATTAATAAAAGAAAAAAATAGTTTCTTACATCTGCCTCCTCTTCCTCATCTTCCTGCTGTTCTTCTTCATCCTCATCATCGTCACTTTCCAAATCAGGTCCGATGTAGTTCCCAAACTCATCATAGAGATCTGCATCCATCTTGGGTCTGTGTGATTAACCTCAGATGGAACAGAGTAAATATAATATGACCTGAAAAAAATATAAAATTATTTTAAAAATGTCTCTGGCCTTACGTTCTGGGAAACTCTTCAAAATGATAACACAGACAAAGTAAAAGGACTATCACTGGGAAGGAAATCAATGTTTTCCTACTTCTAATGGCATTCACTGACATAATTGCAGCTGCAGTGTTAAGTTGTATTATCATTTCGAACTCAACCAGATTATTTGAAAAGTGGACTTCATTCAAAATACTTGAGACAAAGTCAGATTTGTCTATACAGCTATTAGAATCACGCCAACCAGTTTGATTTTGATGAAGGATAATATACCGCACTCACTCTGCAAACATTTATTACATTGTACACAATGACAAACGGTGCCGAGCCGGTTGGTTTTTAAAACGATCGTTATTATGACAGCATATTTCTTATTACAAACACATGGAATGATTAATTCGACTATTTCAGACAAATTCAACCATTCAGACTACACGCAGGTAGAAGAAGGTATGAGTAAACTATGCAGAGATAAAACGAAACAATCGTACTCACGCTTCCCTCACAGCAAGATGGCGGCCACCGTAAATCGAACGTGCAAGATAAGCCAAGTTACGTTTACATTTTAAAAGCTTTGGAAGAAAAGACAACATGATATGATGATATTATTATGATTGTGATCCATTTAGGAATAATCTGATTCTTACATCGACATTCGTAATATTGCGGATGGATATCGCTGATGGATTGTCTTGGTAATTTCCCCCAATAGATGGCAGTGTAAGCAATGTTTACAAGATGTCGGATCGTTGGGAAGTGAATATTTCGCAATCCGTACTAGAATGTTATTAAGGATTTGTAATGCATTATGCATCAGCGTAGGGTATGTAGGATACCAGATAGTTGGGAGAAGAATTTTGCAACCCGGCCTTGGTTTTAATTGGAGATTTGTGCAGCATTAACCTGATACTTTACTTCTGTGTCTGATATGAAAGCTGGTTTTTAAACTCAAACTTTGGAGAAATGGGATTCACGGATTCTGCATTATCTGAATATGGGTATACAACACAGCTACATGACACCAAAGTATAACAATGATATCACACATGGTGAGTTACTCGAGCATCTGACAATGTCAAAGATTAATGAGCAGGAAAACCGCATTATTTTCATAAAATAGCTAAAGGAAAAGTCATCGTTTGCACTTACCACTATTTGCATCTTTTATTTGATCTGCTGTCAAGTCCAGTTTAGTTTGCATGTAAAAGTAAACTCATTGGTGTGATCTTACCAAGTTGTTTACATTGCATAATCTGTGTATATCTGCAAGGTAGAACTTGTACAGTATTTAGGAGGTGAAAGTCTTGTACATTTATTCAAATCTGAATATTTATGTAAGTACTGTACTTATGTCCCTGGAGCCCCACCTAGTATAGAGATGTTAACCCTCTGCACTTGCATATTTAGAATTTTTTTAAATGTTATATTATTAATGTGAATTTTTTAGAATTTAGACAAGCAACTTTTAATGATAAAAATTGAAACAAAGACATAAAACAAATGCCTTTATTATACTGTTATTACTAGTCATTATAATTGCCTTTTCTAAACATTTAAGGAACTATTATGGATAATTAATCTTTTTAGATTATTTCTTTGCTAAAAGATATGAAACATTATTTCAGCTGTAGATTGCACTATAGAAGAGCTGATCAAAGTTTACCTGAAAATTGAAGATCTACATCTTGGCAGTGAAGAGTATTTGGATTTCTCAATTTTGTAAGTGAAAATAAATTAATAAAAGGCATCTGAATAAGATGCAATGTAGTGTATTCAGTAGAATGCATAATTCACATCAAAAAGCTCAAATTATTTTTTATCTCATTATTGTACAATTTATTTATTAATATACCTAATCATGGACATTGAAGTATTTTTTCACAAAATAGAGCTTCTGAACTTTAATATGATATCATCAAAAATAATATGTGCATTGTACTTAGTCTAACTTGAATCTTCATGTTATTTGAGCAAACGTCCTGGTTCTGAAATGTCACAATGAGTTACATGTATTTGAAGAGGGGAGGGGAGGAGTTATAGTACTGTTATTACAGTATTTGAAATTTATACATTTGGTTTAAGTGTAGTTTATAATCTTGAACTGCCAGAGTGAAGAAACCTCCCCTTGAAGTTGTCCAGTACACATCCAGTCACATAGGTGAACCCTGTCATAGCCAAGTTGTTGGGCATCATTGCTACAACACATTGATCACTAATGTATATCCAGCATAAAAGTCAACAAAGAGGGCTCAGCTCAATGGAGCTTTATTGATCCAGAAATAATAAATTGGCTATTTTTGTGACATTGAGATTGTTGTAATTAGGCATTAGCGGCCAGTTATGTACTGGTACAACATTTTACTTAGTACTACAGTGAAGGATGCTTTTAATTAAGAAATTTTATGGCTGAAATATTTTTATAAATACAAATCTACCAAGTTATTATTTTACAGTATTACATGACACTGAGGGAATGAATTATGTTATATAACATTGTTTTTGTAAGGTAACATGCTGCTGCATTTCATAGTGTTCAATGTTGTATTGCATTTCCAATTCTTGGTATGTCCCTTTGAAAGTAATTTTTTTTTTTTTTTTGAGCCTGGGGGTTCTGGTAAGGTTACAGTCTTGCGCAATAGCCAAGCTATTATATTATCAATAAGTTGTTTGAAATACCAATACATGTAACGTTCGGTGTTGCAATGATAATAACCCCCAACATGTAAATTTAAAGTCATGGTACATGTATTGTAATGTACAGTCATTTTGCATTCTATTTCTAGTGCATATCCAACCAAACTATTCAGTGATTGAAAGAGACAAATTAATTACTAGTACAGTAAATTACTGAATGACAAATAATGTTTAAAAAGAAAACATAGGGCCAGGCAACTTTAGGTCATATTGATTTTCTATAATAAATACTAGGAAAAAAAACAAGAAGTTCAGACAGAATATACTGAAAAAGAAAGCTGAGGTTTTGTCCAACAGTATACTCTTTAAAAAGCTCCAAATATTGATGATGATGAATTTTATAAAACATAACTACACACTCCCAGTAATGTGATAAGTGCACAGTGGTTTTGTCTCCCACAATGTATCATTTCAATTTTGCACACAATGTTTTTAAGTGAAGATAAATGCTGTTGTTAGTATTAAACATTGTAAATTGTATTTAAATATAAAATCATATAATTTGTATTGTATTTTCCAGCGCTCAGTTACTTCCACTTAAGAACCACATCAGTGATAGAGTATGTAGACTGTTTCTGGTGGAGGATGTATTTGTAGACTGGAGACAGTGCTTAGGTAGGTGTGCATGGAGTTGGTACATTATGAAATTTATGTACAAAATTGTAACTTTCATCTATCTGCTTATTTAGAGTTCATCCATTTTTGTTTTGTCAGTTGTTTGTAATGTTTGGTCTCTGTATTTATTAAAATTTGTATTTGTGTAGAGATATCAAAAGCATTTATCAGGGGCGGATTTAGGCCGTCATCTGGGTCTTCCGGAAGACGGTCAGATTTTCAAGTTTACATTGACGGGTATCTTTTTTTTTTCTGTTGGAAGACGGTCAAAAATGGATGATGGATCAATAAAGATAATTTGGAAGACTGTCAAAAAATATCTCTGGATCCGCCCGTGTTTATTGCTGTTATAAAAGAAAAGAATAAGTTTTGATGTTTTTTTATTATACTTCTTATTTCATATAATTTATTTTATCAGTTGCCTGCATGCCTGCTTTATATGTTGCTATATTTGTATGTACCCATATCTATATATATACTAATAAAGGCTTCTGATAATTGATCTTTCTAATTTAAAACCAATTTGTGAGTATTCATTTGCAGATTTTCAAATATCTGTACATGTTACTGAAATTCAAACCATGCTAACATGTTGTAAAACATGTTTCAGTTCTCAAACATGATGCCATCCTTTATTCTTTCAGCATATATCCTCGGAAACATTTTGCTTTTTGACCTTTTTTTCCAAATATTGCATCCTATGCTTTCAATATAGGTCATGATGACCTACTTCTATCATATAGCCCACTTAGCGCTTTATGACCTTCATACACAACGGGCCTAAATACCTCTGGCAAAAAGCGTCCAGTTATCCACCATGGACCCTGGCAAATTTGAATGGAAGTGGCGCAAGTGCCAATCGTTGAATATGTGGGCTGTGGGCTGCTTTCAGCAAGTGTCTCTGTGATATTGTTTCAGGTGGTTTGGTCGTTGTTGCTTGGGGCGATGTTGTGAATAAAATCAACTTGTTGTACACCATGGTATGTTTCTGTATTCTCTTTCTCACCCTCTCTTTCTCCATCTGTGCTCTCTGTCTGTGCCACTTGCTTAGTTGTTACCTTGCATGATTTTTGAGTCTAAAATTCCATATGGAATGACCTTCATAATCATTGTGGAATACTATTCTGCTGAGGCACATGAAATTGGTAAAGTATTCAAAACATATTAATAAAAATTGCCATAAACGTAGAGAGTTTTGTCATCAATGTTTTATTTAAACATTTTTTTTCAAGCTCAGATCTTACATTTACCAACCAAACAAGGTGACAGCCAAGCATGTGGGCTAAAAAAATCAAGTGGAATTTTTGTATTATTTTTGACTAATTACACAGAAATGATGGATTGCACCAATATCAAAACTTGACAATAGAATAAAAGATTGCTACGGAAATTGTATCCTGTGCATTAGCATCCTTTTTTGTTCTACAAACCCTGATGTACAAATTAATCTATTAGAGTGGGTCTAACTGCTTTCAGTGTTCGTCAGCCTACCTTCTCCCACTCAGTTCAAGCTTGTTAGCTCTGTTCATTTTTTTATTTCACTGCATGTACTTAAAGTCTTTTTTGCCTTATATTTTGTATTTTTTTCATTTATTTTTATTATATTATGTTATTAAATTATTTTTGCCATGGATGGGAGACATAGTCAAACATTTTAAATTTTATTTTTGATAATAAGCTTAATTTTAATATTTTGGAACTGAATTCCTTAAGCATTTATTTATTTATTTATTTTATGTTATCTGTTTCAAGTAACTAGGTATTAAGAGTAAATGTTGTTTCTGAAAATTTGAAGTTATTATCAACTATTGGTTTCCTATATTCCAGTATAACTTGTTAGTGGGAGTAGACGAGGGTTGTGTCTCTGGGATACTGCTGTCTGTTCTCAGTGCGGCTCACAGGTGAGGCAAATGAGTGTGTGTGTGTGTGTGTGTGCATGCATTCATGTGTGCGTGCATATTTTTTAAAAGTCATTGGGTTTTGTTATGTAGTTTACACAAGTATTGGAAATAAGGTGCATTTTTCTTTTCAACTTAATTTCTTGTGAGGAAGCTTGTGTAAAAGAACAATGTTTATAAGGACAGTGTACTCAAACCATTGGAAGCACAGAGTTTGTGTATGTTATGGGAAGGTTTAAGTTAGACTGTTCATGTTTATATTAGCTAATACCAAAGGAAAAATCTGTTCCATAAGGCATAAGCAAGATGCTGGATAATTCAGGCGCAAAGTTATGAGGTGACTCATGTGTTTAGGAACATTTATGATAATCTCATATAGATTAAATTTTTTACCTAATTTTTTTTTTTATTCTTTCAGGATTTCACAACTGGAGTTCTATAATAACGGTAAGATTAGAAGCTGCATATTGAAAGTAGGACTGACGTTAGGGTAATAACTCACAAAATTTGAAGGAATTATTAATTAATTCGATTTCCTTGAATACAGCTTTATTAGTAATCTTATGTACCTTAAAATGCTATTTTGAAATCTCTTAGTTACAGTCATATGTTGCTTATAAAAAATTAACATTTATTGAAAAACAGAAGGTGTGTGTACTTTGTGTTTAGGGCTTTAGGGTAAATACCTTAATTTGTTAACATTGAAATATATGCACCTGTAAAAAAAATGAGGTTGACAGTCATCTTTCATTTTGATGGTTCTTCTTCTATCAGTTCCCACTTTTCATACTCTTAATGGTATTTGAAAGGCTTGTGTATTGATCCATGCAAAGTGATTGTTTGCCTTAAGGACTTCCAACCAGTGTAAAATTATGAGAGATTTATGCTGTGTACTGAAATCACTGCAGGGGTTTGTGGAACATTATGGGGTGCCCTATAGCATTACTTCTTGTCTTGTTCTACTAATTAATCAGCGAAGAACTTTTAATGGCTATAAGGTAATCTCACAGAGTACTTTTAGAAGCACTGTGGTAAATGTTCACGATAGATTTCAGGCCCTGAACATCCACCAGGACTGGTTTCACAAAGTCAACTTAGACCGAAAGTTGGTCTGACATTTAACCAAAGTTTTCAACTGGATGTTGTTCAATTAAATGAAATATAATTGTTTCTGTTATTTAAAAATAAGACACTGCCAATGTTTCTGATCAGTACTTACTTAAATTATCTTAGGGGACTAATTTTAATTATGTTGAATTCTTAGTCTAAAAGTTAAGACCAACCTTCAGTCTGAAGTTTTTTTGTGAAATTGGGAACTGTTCTTAATGCTCCCTGGAGGAATCATGCTATAATTTAAGATAGTGACATGAATGGTTGACTTTAGGCATTTAATTAGCTGTCCTGGAAATGAGGTAGTCAAAACTGAACTTCCGAGGTTAATGTGAAAATTTTCAAATAAAAGGCACAGAGAATTCTGACATGCATTTATATTAGTCTCTGCTCAAGATTTACCAGCTTGAGTCTATCAAACAGCTGTTGGGGATAAAAAGAATAGATCTATGCAATATAATGTACTAGGAGTACTATCTTGGTCTTTTTATTCCAGGGAATAAGCCACCGAGCAAACAACACTATGTGAACATAGAAACAGTTGTCATGGAGATTGTAAACAACTTGTTCAGAGCTAAACAGGTGAGAAAAATTCCATGGGAGAAGACAGAATCAGATAGTGTGTGGAGTTATATTGATATTTTTCACCCTAGAGAAAGATGTTTGAAGTTTATGAAGATTATCAGTAAGAAATCCTGTTGAGACAATAGGGATGATGCAGTTTCTGCATTTTAAAAGTATCATATTTACCAAATATTTCATGATTTATTGTATTCTGTTAGTTTATATGAAGGGAATGACTTGAAAGAATGACTATTTTTCAGGGTGAAATTGTTACCTTGAATGACTTACATAACTGGGCCAAAGACAATGTGAAACTCCGACAGTCTGTACAGTCACTTCTGAACAATGTAAGTAGCAGAACTGACTTTTTTCTTTGATTTTAAGATATTAATTGTCATTTTAGAATTGATCGTCGACATGCAAATCCAGAGAAATTATTAATCCCAATGGAAATTCGCTGTGAAACGAACATATTCTTTATATTGAAATTATTATTCATTTGGTTTAAAACGTGGGATTAATTTATATTTCTAGTATTTTTTTTTTTTTTTACTGATGACTTTTTAACAGTTTGTCAGCATACAAATTTTTATAGGAACAGAGTAAAGTATGAAGCACAAAACAAGTTCTCATTGCTGCTTTATCAGACTTACAATTTCACATTAATTACTTACAGGCTGAAGATAATGAAAACATCAACAATAACAGCGAGGATCTATCCTATCTGACAACCAATACATCAACAAATACATCATCATCAACAACAACACACAACAACTGCCTCTCCTTCACATGGAGTCCAGTTTCTCACAATCCTGAGTCCAGAGTCCCGTGTTCTCGCCACAAGCACGCCAGCTGTGTGTACGAGGATTGTCTCTACCTGTTTGGAGGCCGGGAAGCCAACCTGCCTTTAAAGGATCTCTGGAGATATCATATTCGTGAGTCTCACCCGAGCTGAGCAAGTTTGTGAGAAAAGGGGAAAGGGCTTAAAAATACTTTTGGGGTATTATCCTCCTCCCCAAATTCTTTATGAAAAGGGAAAATGGATCTTTAGGAATATTTTTATGTCATTGTTGGTTTTACAAATTGGTCCAATGTGACAGAAATAGCATTTTTAGAAATAGCATTTCTAGAAAGGTAGCTACAGATCTCTTCTCGTCCATCATAACAGAAAAAAAAAGAGAAAATAATTAGAAAATAATTAGAAAATTGGTAGTGTTTACTGTAATATTCTGGGATGTGATTTTGCATTTTTTTCTCCTTTGGGTAGAGAGAGATGGGCTACATCCATCGTTTGGCTATTCATTTTATTTGCTTGTGTAAAATTGGCTGCTATTTGATGTACAGAATTAAGGATGCCAATTTTATAATCCTTTGCATATTTATAATTAATGTAGATAAACAATCATCACACATAGTCTTATTTATTTATTATACTAATGCATGGGATCATATTTTCATATCGTTAATTCTATATTTCTTCTTTAATCTGCTTAATGCCTGTATCAGTCTCAGTTATGCTGTCTAGTTTAACATCAGACTGATATGATTTGTTGTTGTTTTATATCACAGCCTCCAACACCTGGGAGAGTCTAACCTGTTCAGGAGACGGTCCATCTACAGTGGAAGACCACACTCTGGTGGCTTACAAGGTATGCCTTATGTCTGGGACACACACACACAGGCACACACACACATGCATGCACATGGGCGTGTGCACACACACATATTTTCAATAGAATTCTTTGTATGTGGCTGTTTCCGCATTCTGAATGTTTGCACTCAGGAAAAAGATCATTAGTATTATTTAAAGAGAAAACATTATGTATATAGCTGTTGCTCCTTATTGAATATCACGTGGACTGGACAATTTTATTTTTCAGTGGACCACGTCATGCTTGGCTGTTTCTTTATATTAAAATTACACATACCAGATATATTATTCATAAGATAGAGATCATTTGAGTGATTTTGTCATCCAGATTGTCACATATATTTCCAGGGCTGTCTGTACATGTTTGGTGGACTGTTTGGTAATTTTCACCTAGTGGACCATGAGACCTCTCTCTGGATACTTCCTCTAGGTACCATTTATTTCTTTATATTTTATAATTTATTTATCCATCCATCCATCCACTCTTCATCCCTTTCTTTTAGAATGCAGTCAGTATGGTTATAAAGCTGATTTGTTTATGTAATAGGAGTTTACATATAATTTTTGTGAAAAAATTTTGAAGTTGTGATTTTCTTGTTTGTATTTTAGCAACAATATAGAAAAATTCATATATAGTCTAAAAGTGTAGGTTATTTCACACAAAAGATATGCAATATTATGAATTTTGACTAGTTTGTGACTCACTGGCAAACAGTGAGAAATGTGATGCTATGCCATATTCCAAGTATTACAAAGAAATACTTTTTTGCATTAGATACACTAGTATGGAGAAAGCATGCTTTGGACAGTGCTGTCATGATGCCAGTCAGTCGTAGAGGTCATACAGCAGTCATATCCCATCATGCAATGCACATCTACGGAGGCTTTATTGACCTTAAAGGAACAAGTAGTGAATTGTGGACTTTTGACTTTGGTGAGTAGAATTGATTAAAAGAACATTTCTTTTGCTAGATACTTTTGATCATTTATGTTTTGTCACTTTTTCTTGTGTGCATCTTTCAAATTCTCTTTATTCCCTGTTGTGTTTTTTTTTTTTTTTTTTCTTTTGCTCAGATCTAAGCAAACTAATGCAATATATATAAATTAGGATAATAATTTACAATTATTTTGTCCACCATTTGCAAAACTCAGGCATAACTTTGTTGTTAATGTTTGTTGCGTAGATTCTGAGACGTGGCACCTGTGCTACAGCACCATGATGACAGATGGCGGTCCTGGAGCACGTCACGCTCACAGCGCAGTCGTCCATGACAGTGCCATGTGGGTGTATGGCGGCCTGAATAACCTACAGGGGAAGAATGATTTCTGGACTTGGAGTTTCAGTGAGTAACACTGCTTGTAATTGTACATGTCTCTCTGGATTTGGGAATCTTAAATTGGTAGTTGTGCATGTCTTTCTGAATTAAGGAACTTGAATGGGTATTTGTGATGTCCAGTTGGAAAAAGGTTTTTATTGTCCCTTGTGTAAAGTAAAAACATGTATAGTCTTTTATGAAATGATGTAGTAATATTCCAATTGGCATGAATGTTTTATGATGCTTACTATGTATTTTGATTATTTCAAACCAAAAAAGAAAAAAAACAGTTATGATGTTGTTTGCATTTTCATATGGTTTAGATTGCTCAGATATCACCTCACAAAAATTTCGCATTTTTTTTTCGTAGGATCTTGTCATCAAACGGAGCTGAAAACATCTGCTAAGCATTAAGCCAGTTTTCCTAGGATTTGTGGTTGTTACCAGTTTTATCATGTCAGGTAAAACATCCGCTCTTAATAGCGACAGAAATGAAAATAACCTCTGTTTATGTTCCAGACCTGAGAAAATGGAGCCGCGTGAAGTGTCGTCAGGGTCCATCAGAGCTGTATGGTCACTCAGCCTGCAAGGTGGCAGACGCCATGTTTGTATTTGGTGGAGAGAGTGAAGGCAGCCTGAAGAATGATCTGTGGAAGTTCCATTTCTGTGAGTACCAGTGGAATATGGCATAAGAAAGGTCTTTTTTTTTTTTTTCAGATCATAAATGCCCTTTCACATACAACTGTATATATGCTGTTGTATACTGTGGTTATTTGTGGATATATGTTAATTATCAGATTTTTGAGCAAATCTGAAGAAGAAGTATGGTAGAATAAAAAAAATTTTTTTTGTTTTTGTCAAAATCTACTCTAGTAAAATTAGCTTTTCAAAAACTAATTATGCCTTTTTGCGAGTAGTTTTAGTGTATGTTCAGCACTGCTTTAATAACAATTTCTTAAAATTTCCAGCATCTTCCACATGGACAAAACTGCCCACTCCCACCCTGTGTCCAGCACCATGTTCTAAACACACAGCGGTCATCGTGTCCAGTTTGCTCTTCTCCGTGGCCAATACCAGCAAGCGTTCCTGTTCCGTCCCTCAGCTTCAGGAACTCCAAGAAGAAGACAAGATGAAAGATTCTCTACCTCCCCGCCCTTTCTCAAGTCCCGCGAACATCTCACCAGACAGGGTCCACCATTTCAAAAACAGGGTGTCCCCCTTGGTGAGCCCATTGGCTGAAGGTGGGACAAACACCCAATGTCAAGGTCATGACCTTTCTCTAAGAGATGACCCAGACAGTGCCAAGGTTCAAGGTCATCCACAAAACACTTACAAGAATTTTGTGATAACAAGAGAACCATTTTCTACTCCAAATTTTAAAGTGTTCAGTGAATCTAATCAGGACTATGTTCCTCTCTTAAGAAGGAGCAGGACAGACTCTGAGAATCTGAGTCGGATTTCTTCTGAGCATCTCGCCCATGACAACCCCAGCTTGCACAGAGATTCCCTCCATGAAGGAGACCAATCACATCAAAACCATTCCATTGTGTCAAAAATGTCAGCAGACGACAAAGGCAAAGGTTATGGCCAGGGGGAGCCACTTGTTTGTCATCTCAGTCAAGACCCAGGACAAACCAATCCTGAGAAGCAGAGGAGTGAAAAATTCACCCTGCCTGGTCTGGTGAGGTCTGGGTCATTGGAGTCTCTGGCTCAAAACAGGAATCTGGGGATTGTGTCAGAAACGAGGATTGATTCCTCAGAAATAGCATGCCACTCTCAGCAGAGATATTTGGTTCCTGAAAGCGACCAGGATTCCGTGGATTGTGGTCCAAGACGTCCCAGTTATGGTCTGCCTGTAGATGATATGGTGCTTGAGGATCTTGAGGAGGAGTATAATGATGAGGAGGAAGAAGAGGATTTCTGTATAAGAAAATCTATTCAAAATATCAGGCATTCTGACGCTTGTACCAAAGACCTCGACGTCCATGAAGATCATTCCAAAGACACGAAGGCAGCAGGCCCAATGAGTATAGGACATATTGAATTCCAAGGTGGCAGTTTGGACCAATTAATGAAAGGTTGTGATGCTTGTGAAACTGAGCAAAAACAACCTCAAAAATCCGATTCACATAACTCTGGGGCCAATCATATTTTGATCTCAAAGCACCTTAATGATTCTAACCCTGATAATATGCACAGTCAGGTGGCAGATAGAGGGCGTATTGTGTCATTTCAGGATAAACCTGAGTTGAGGTTTAGTGAAAAAAGAAGTGTTCCATATTTTGACAGGGAGATAAAATCATCATCCAACAGACTGGTTATTATGCATAGTAATTTTTCAAAAAGCTCAGTCAGCATGCCTGAAGTGAGTGACAGAAATCTGAGTCAAGTTCAAGGTCATGGATGCAGACCTAATTCTCTAAATGTGCTGCAAAATGGGCAGGTGCTTGGGAAAGCAATTGGTGGACATAATGTTGACCCACAGTGGTGCAATTCAAATGGAGAACAAATTGTGGTAGAGAAGCACAGTGGCAGAGGCTTAGCTAGCACAGTGGATGTGACACAGCACAATCAAGAGAGTGTGATCTCAACTAACACAATCCAGAGTCACACACAAGGTACAGTAGTGTTGTCTGTAGCAGTGGGTGTGAATGGTTATTCTGAGTCACACAGACCAGAGAGAGGGAAGCTGCATGGAAGATCAAGGACTCTGCCTCAGATTCCAGTACAACGGGTGCCAGCTGAGGAGACCCCTGTGTCTCAGCAGAAGAGAAAGGGGAAGGTGGAGAATGGAAAGAAAAAGGTAAGGATGAGTTTTTTTGTGTGTTAATTATTTTTTTTCTGTCTTTTATGCAGATGGATGTGTATATATCTATTATTCCTGGCATATATGGATGTTTCGGGACCATTTTCACATTAGCATTGCAGAATTTGGTGAAACATTTCCATGCTGTTTGTTCTTTTTTCTTTCTAAGTGTATCAGCGTAAAAGATCATTTTTGCCTTAACATATTCAACAAATGTCATTTGGTGTTTCTCGCATGGTCTCCATAATGTTAATGTGTATGACTTTGTTTTATTATTATTATTATTATTATTATTATTATTATTATTATTATTATTATTATTATTTCAGGTGCTTCCCCAAGCCCCCAGTTTCTGTATGTTTGTATTAGGAGGGAGGGAATCTGAGATCCATGGTTTCTACAGAACTCCTATAGCAATGTGGAGATGTGAGATTGTATCTGGTCAGTATATTCTTGAAAATATACATTAATTGTATCAGAACAATAGCAATAGGACTACTGAATACATAAATATTAACTTACTAAGCTGGATACCCCATTTCTTTAATATTTAATTGGTGTAAAAGCCTGGGGACAAATGACAGATATGGTCAAACTGTTGAAAGTAGTTGTTTTACATCAAGTTAAAGTTCAAAATGTATATTACAGTTTATAGATATAACAATTATTATGATTTATTCAGATTGAGCATTTTGTATGAAAAGAAAGTTCTGTGAAAATTATGCCTGTTGTTTTTTTTTCCAGGTAAAGCATTACCTCAGCCGTTAGCTCGTCTTATCAATGAAAACAGAGTAGGGCCAGCAAAGAAGACGCCATCTACTTATGTCAACTAAAGCTTCCCCCTCCACCCCTCTCCTCCACACCCACCCCACCCCACCCCCATCATTTTCCATCTCACTGGAACTTGCCTGACATGGACACAATTCTTGGTGTGGAATTCTGGGATATTGTGCAGCAGTGGAAGGTTCAAGTTTGTGTGGAGCAGGGAAAGGGATTTGAAGTGATTAAAAGCTGAGTAAAGTAGACCTAAGGGTGTGTGCTGGTTGATTAGGTAATAATTTGGGTCATGACAATCATTTTCTGTGTGAGATGAAGTCACAAAAACAAGCAATACATACTTACTATGTTAAGTGCAGATTGCACATTTTTTTTTGTATGTTCATTTATCACCACATACAGAATCTTGGAAGGCCCTCGAAAATTTTTTTAATTTAAATTTAGTTTTTTTAGCATATTGATTAACAATAACTCTTAGAATCTCATTCTCTAGAAATCTTCAGTGACAGAAGTTATTTGAATATGGAGCCAAAACAGTACAACTGGCATAGAAAATAAATGAAAAAATACCATTCCTAACATTCTGCTGTTGGAAAAATTAGTCTAAGATGATTTAACTAAATGCTCTCAAGGAAATATGTTCATACAGTGCCTACATGTGCAAGCATATATACACATACTCAGACACATAAAATTTAAGACAACATTATTTAAATATCATCATTTTTTTATTATTATTACAAGTATTAATTTGGTGCATTGAATATTATTCAAGAATGTTATCAGAGGTCAGTAAATGGAAAGGGCCTATGGGTTTCAGCACATATTTATAAGGAACAGATGTATATTATATATAGTTATATATAATTATATTGTATTATATTAGGTGCATAGGATACCAGATATCCCAGACCAAATGTATATGTTTGTATGGAGTCACTGTGTGTATTTAACTGTTATTTATGTATAATACAAGCTGCTATTATTGTGTGGTTGTAGAATATTTTGGAAATATTCTCAGGGAAAATTTGCAACCAGATTTTGTGATGAGCAATAAAATAGATTAACAAAACACGGAAAAGTAAATTTGTCAAAGAAAAAAAAAACAGGTATTCTGTACTTTTGTCTGTGATAAAATAGAAGAATAAAATAAGATGGATAAACATCAGTATCAGATCCAAAAGCAAATGTTATTTATATCTGTAAAGATAGAAGATTCTTTTTCTTTTTGATAAGCCAAGACTGCTTAACAAGAATGCGAAAGGCCACATTCATAACAGCTGACTAACTAGTCGATGGTTTAAATATGGCTGACCCACTTGAATGCTTGTTGTGTAAGGGAATCTATTCAGCGTCTATCAGGGGATTAGACAGCAAGCTTTTAAGTGGGCCATCATATTTGATCCTCATACCAGTTAGTTTTCTGTTGTGAACGCCACCAAAAGTGTGTTTCCCCTTATTGACTGACGTTTAAAATGCAATATAATTCAAACAATGTGCTTTGTACACTGTGGTGCCATGGACTTTGTCTATTAGTTATTTTCATAATCAATTTCATCATTGTAAGATGAGCCTAAGATCTGATGTTGGACAGCAAACATGGAAATCTGTTTCTACTGTTTTGTCATTGAGTGAGGGTAGAGCTTGCATTCTGATGTGGAACAGTCCAAATTGCATACTTGAGAGATAGTATTACAGATGTGTATATTATGGTATTAGTATTACAAATGTGTATATTATGGTATTAGTATTACAAATGTGTATATTATGGTATTAGTATTACAAATGTGTATATTATGGTATTAGGAACAATAGTATGTGTGCCTTGTAAAAAACATCGCAGCGATATGTCAGATTTACAATTGTTTCTGTGTATTGCAAAAGAAAGAAAAAAATGCTTCTTAATTGCCAAAACCAAACTTGCAACATTAAGTTGTAGAAAAGAAAGCTTATGTCACAATTGGGGGGAGGTGGGGGGGGGGGATAACTTACTGTTTGGCAACTTTGAATGTTGAAGCTGCTGTTAATTACTGTGGAGTTTCATTGCTTTTTTAATGTTTTGCAATCTTGTGCATTGTTTGTGATCGTTCTGACATTCCTGTTATTTATAAATCAAATATCACAGTAGAAGCAATGAGATGAGTTATTTACACTTTTATTGGAGTTCATAGCTCATTGGTAGAAGATAAGACCCACACCTAGAAAGTTGTTTGGTGAGTCTTAGGTAGAAGTTAAATTTTGTATATTGAGTTTAAGTTAGTATTTTTTAAAATATTTTTTAATCACAAATATGTAAGTATACAAGAATGGAATTTTATACAAATTATGTTTTACCTATGTCATGGGATTATATATTTTTATAAAGGGAAACAGATGTTCTATGTAATGCTCTTTGGTCTCAGATATACTGGAATTTCATACTTCTGGTTGATATCAGTGTTTTTTGCTTACATAATTCTTTACCATGTTGTTTTTTAGTTTTGATTTCAAACAAAGAATTCCACAGATGTATTCTTAATGTTTAAAGCTGATTATCTTATTTATTTATGAATTTATAACTATTTTATTTATAGAATTTTGATGTCTGTAAATGACAAATCTCAATGAAATAAAGATTGGAATCACTAATGTGGTTTAATTTGGAATTTCACAGATCCAGTGAAGGTTTGCTACAGGCACCTGCAAACAGTTAAAGATTTAAGTGTTCAAACTTACTTTGAAATTTAAAATCTTAATTTTTTAGTTAGTCTAATCTTTAAATATTTTAAAAACACGATCTCTCTTGTAAAACATGAACTCTTTAATGCACAATTAAAATAAACTCAGAACAATTTTTATCAAATAAATATTAAATGACAAATTAAAACGATAGCATCCCTAACACTTCATCCTATGTAGTGATCTGACCTGGGAAAATTTACTTTCATTTCGCTTTCACTTTCTTCCAAAATATTCCTCATCCGATAAATCGGGTCTGCTGGACATTTTTGGCAGAGGTGCTGCCGCACTTTTTGGAGGTGCCCCTCCTGTGGCTGGGAGTGCCCCGTAACCAGTATAACGAGCTGCAGACGCCCTGTAATCAGAATCTTGTTGATTACGAGGTCTGTAACCCAACAAGCCTGACGGGCGGCTATATCCTTGCGCGCCATATTTGCCAAGTCCTTGACTTTTTGTGGCATCGTACCCGCCTGCAGTTCCGTAATACCCTTCGTTACCAGAGGAACCATACGTTCCTTGGGTACCATAGTTTGAATATCCTTGACCGGGAGAGGAACCGTAATTTCCTTGATAGCTGGTTGCACCATAATTTCCTTGACCACTCGGAGAACCGTATTTGTTTGAAGCATCTGAAGCACTGTAATAGCCGTTGCCACCTAGGTTATTATAATACCCGGAATTGCCCGAGTTGCCGTAGTATCCAGAATTGCCCAAAGAGCCGTAGTTTCCAGAATTGCCTAACGCGCCATAATTTGAATTTGTACCAGAGTTTCCACTGTATCCATATACTCCGGATTTTCCATAATATCCAGGAGCATTGTAATATGCCGCTGGTCCGGAATATGAGCCTGAAGACCCATATTTTCCTGCCGGATCTGAAGCGATTGCTGCAGCAGCGGCGGCTGCAGCAGCAGCGGCGGTGCCACTTCCGTACCCGCCATATGCTGATCCATATTGTGCTCCGCCAGCGCCGTACTGCGCCCCTTGGGCGCCAGCGTAATTCCCGTAATTTCCATAATTTCCCGCGCCTGCGTAATTAGCAAATTCTCCATTGATCCCCAAATACTTCACCAGTCTCTGGCAACCGAATTTCTCCAGATAGTTCACGATGACCAGACATTCTTTGATTTTTTGTATTCCCCACTGTGTACAAGAGATATGCCGTGGCGCGTTATGGTTCACACAGTAAGCGTGAAGCTGAAGAATGCAGGCCTCTTTACGTTGGTATTTCCAGTGTTTCCAACATCTCTGCCACAGCACTTGAATGTTCTCGTCGTCCTTGAAGAGCGCTTCCTGCTGAGCCTTGGTCAACACGGCCCCGGTGATCCCCTCGGCGACCCCGCCCTTGGCTCCGTTTGTGTTACCCTGCCCTGCTGCTGTAGCGCCGTACCCACCAGAGGGGCTAGGATAGCCCGCCCCGGGATAGGAACCCGCTGGAGAGCCGTAAGATGGTGGGGCGGCCCCGGGGTGGTAGTATCCAGAATACCCTTGGGGAAGTGGTTTTGGTGGGGGTGGTGGGTAGTACTGCCCATAAACACCTTGGGGTGGAGCGTTGTTTCCCGAGGGAGGCGGAGGAGGAGGGGGGTACCCTGGTTGGCCTCCATAAGCCTGGCGACGATGGCGGCTTACTGAGAAAAGGTCTGAAAGAGATTGAAGCGGTCGCAGTAAGTTTTATAGCTATCGACTTTTCATCGATGTTGTCGGGCAGCAAAAGCCATTTTTGGACATTTTATTGGTAAAATTTAACATGACTATCGCCATTAAAAATAAATGATTGTAAATGAATGAATAAACGGGTAAAATGGCTCCAGCTGAATACATGTACGACGAATAAACGCGTTCATCAATTGCGGAAAAATTAAAGTGTCCTTAACACAACAATTAACTGAAAATTAACCATACAACATATCAAAAGTTAATAGGCCTACATTGCAAGTTACAGTTCCATATATGCTTATACCTTCAGTATACACCAACTGGGGCTGTAACATCATAATATCTCGCTGAGAGCAGAAGTCAGACAGCTGATCACCCAGCTCGCCCTCTTCTATGGTCACGTTCTCTGCCGTATATACCACGTCAAAGGCCGCTGTCGGGGTGGTCAGGGCGCCCTAAAGTTTGACAAATGCCGATGAAATCATCGTCAGGAGCATACTTTTAATCTGTTAAAAGATTTTTGGTTCGTTAGAAGCGACAAATTTTCGTGTCAGTAAGTAACTTATTTTATGAACGACAGTCATAATTTTTTAATGACAATGTTCATATAGTGGCGTATATAGGCTATGGCAGATGGTCACGTGCTGAAAGGTTTAAATAGCGCTCAATGTTTCTATTTATC